TCAAATAACCAGATAATCATATAAAGCTATAATATTTCACACATATTGGCAGTAGCGCAGGATCTAAATCAGATCAAAGGAAAAAAATTGAAAGCAGAAAAATAGACTTAGATGTGCATAAAATTTAGAATGTATTAAAAAATCTTTTTAAAGTAATGGAGAAAGGTAGATTACTCAAAAAATGATGTTGTATATCAACTGTAATTGAAAAGTAAAAAATGATTTAAAAAATAATGAACACACAAGATGTTTAGTAACTACAAAGTAGACGTAGCACTTTTGAAGAATACTGGTCAATTATTTTATAGAGTGCCGGCAGCTGGGACAGTCATTCTCCACTGTCTGATGTTGTCTCATGATTAGATTGAGGCTCTGCATTATTGGAAAGAATATTACAAGGTGAGCCGAGACCGGTTTGGCTCAGTGGATAGAGCGTCAGCTTGGGGACTGAAGGGTCCCGGGTTCGATTCCAGTCAGGGGCATGTACCTTGGTTGCGGGCACATCCCCAGTAGGGGGTGTGCAAGAGGCAGCTGTTTGATGACTCTCTCTCATGGATGTTTCTAGCTCTCTGTCTCTATTCCTTCCTCTCTGAACAAAATCAATAAAATATATTAAAAAAAAAAAAAAGAATATTACAAGATGATACATCCTAATAATTGCATCATAGCATCGGGTACAACACGATGCTTTTATATCTTACTGGTGATGGTAACCTTGAACACGTGGTGTCTTCCAGGAGTCTCCATTATAAAGTACTTGTTTTATAAGAGGATAAAATCCTCTAGTAATTTGCCAAAAATATCCACGATGTACATATAAATATATTCGAAAATACATATAATGTGAACATAAAACTGTTACTAAAATGTAATCCATAAATGCTGTGGATTTTACAAGTTGGTTCTCTCAACACAAAGCCATTATAAAAATATGGATGTATGTAAACTTTTATTGTTATTTTTTAAAATATTCTTTATTGATTTTTTTACATAGAGGGAGAGGGATAGAGAGCTAGAGACATCGATGAGAGAGAAACATCAACCAGCTGCCTCCTGCATACACCCTACCAATGTACATGCCCTTCACCGGAATCGAACATGGGACCCTTCAGTCCACAGACCGACTCTTTATGCACTGAGCCACACGGGTTTCGGCAAACTTTTATTTTTTTTATATGTTTTCATTGATTTTTTAAAAAGAGAGATGGAGAGGGAGAGAGAGAGATAGAAACATCGATGAGTGAGAAACATCAATCAGCTGCCTCTTGCACACCCCCTTCTAGGGATGTGCCCACAACCAAGGCACATGCCCTTGAACGGAATCGAACCCGGGATCTTTCAGTCTGCAGGCCAACGCTCTATCCACTGAGCCAAACCGGTTAGGGCAATTAACTTTCCTTTTTCTCCTTCCCCCAGCTTCTGGCAAACACCATTCTATTTTTTGTCTATGAACTTGACTCCTTTAAGTATTTCATGTAAGTAGAAACATATTAGTACTTGTCCTTTTGTGCCTGGCTTATTTCATTTAGCATAACATCTAGAAGTTTCATCCATTTTGTTACATGGGTCAGGATACCCTTTCGTAAGGCTGAATAATACACCACATTTTGTTTATTCATCAATCAATGGACACTTGTGCTGTTTCCACCTTCTAGATCCTGTGAATAAAGGGGTTCAGAACAGGTCTCCCTAAGATGTGCCACTTTGGCCTGGGGATTAGTTTGAGCTAAAAGCAACCAAGTCCCTGCAGGTTCAAGAGAAACTTGACCTGCCTGTTAAAGAACCTAAATGGAAGGCCTTGCCCATAATTAGAGTTATTGTCAGAAATTGATTTCCAGCCAAAACCGGTTTAGCTCAATGGATAGAGCGTCGGCTTGGGGACTGAAGGGACCGGGTTTGATTCCGGTCAAGGGCATGTACCTTGGTTGCGGGCACATCCCCAGTAGGGGGTGTGCGAGAGGCAGCTGATCGATGACTCTCTCATCGATGTTTCCAACTCTCTATCTCTCTTTCTTCCTCTCTGTACAAAATCAATAAAATATATTTTAAAAAAATAATAAAATATATTAAAAAAAAGAAAGAAAGAAAAGAAATTGATTTCCAATCTTCCTTTATTAGTGTTGAACAAACTCAAAAAGAGTTTGGAGGCTTTGATTAGAAATAAATGATTTATTCAAGGATTTAAAAAATATATATTTTATTGATTTTTTTACAGAGAGGAGGAGAGGGATAGAGTTAGAAACATGGATGAGAGAGAAACATCCATCAGCTGCCTCTTGCACACCTTCCACTGGGGATGTGCCCACAACCAAGGTACATGCCCTTGGCCGGAATCAAACCACTGAGCCAAACCGGTTTCGGCTATTCAAGGATCTTAAGGTTTGCAAGCTGGAAACACAACTAGGCAATGAGGCACGGTAGCAATCATCTTGGGTAGAAACTGCAGTTTAACTTTAACTCTGCTGTGTGGCTTGCATATTCATTTGCTTGCTAAAACAATAGAAAAGTTATTGATTTTCTGGACTTACGTATGCCATCCCAATGGATTGAATACTCCATTGGCGGTGGTTTGAATATCCCCTCGATTGTGATCTTACTGGTCATCGAAACACATTCTTCTGAACCTGGAGACCAGGACAGACAATTACTCTAAATTGTGGGGAACCTCAGTGGCTCCAGATAATGCGTTTCGGTAGACTCTGTGGTCCCAAGACTGGACAGCACAATTCTTCTAAATTGCCTCCGTGGCTCCAGATAATGTGTTTCCATTGATTCGGTGCTCCAAAGACCCAAAACTATAATTAATCCCTGTAGATGACTAACTTGCTCAATTTCGCTTCTGTAATTGCCTTGTACAAACCGGCTTCCTCATTCCAAACCCAAAGATGTCACCAATTCCTTTGTGATGTTTGCCTATATAAGCCTGAGGGTGCCAGCATTTCGGGGCTGCGAGATTTGGCGTGCTATTGCCCCCTTGTAGCCCCGTAATTCGACTTCTTGAAGTGTCCTTTGTGCCATTCGTGGTTACACCACAACAGTAGAAACCCCGTAAGAAGAAAGAAAAGAGATCCCATAGCAAGCAGCATTCTTGAGCATAATTAGTCCTGCGTTCTTAGCCCTAAGATCGGTCCAAGATAGTTAGCAGTGCCATGTCAGGTGGTCCAAACTGGCGAGTCCTTCAGGGGTAATAAGAGGGTTATCTGGAGGTCTGATGCATGTTTAGGCATTGCTGCAAGACTGGCAAGTTTATTGTTTATTTATTTACTTATTTATGGGGGGTGCGGGCTGGCAAGTTTAAAAGTTTAAGTCCCTAGGCTAAAGCAAAAATAGAATTGTTTCCTCTTACCTCAACCTACTTGATTTCAGTAATGTAGCAGCTTGACTATAGTGACCCCACTTTATTTCTTCATTTGACTGCAAACCCCTGGAGGGCAAGGATCCCCTTTGCGCTTTGCTGTAACGCCTGAGTCTCTAAAACACTGCTCGGCACATGATACATAGAGGAGGCCAGTATTTCCTGAACAAATAAATCAATTCCAAGTGTTTTCAGGTGGCTTCCTGTAAGGGTTTATATCAGCTAAAGGAAGAAAAGTCCTTCAGGATCCTATCACGAAAACGACCTTTGTTAAGGTGACTAGACGTTCCCGCGGGGTTTTTAAAAATGTCGCAAATTATTAAAAAAGCGGGACGTAGCTCAGTGGGTAGAGCATCGGCCTGCGGACTGAAAGGTCCCGGGTTCGATTCCGGTCAAGGGCACGTGCCTTGGTTGCGGGCAGGTCCCCAGCGGGGGGTGTGCAAGAGGCAGCTGATCGATGACTCTCTCACTGATGTTTCTATCTCTCTCCCTTTCTCTCTGTAAAAAAAATCAATAAAAAAAATATATAAAAAGCGGGACGTCTGGTCACCTTACCGTGGCAGAACTCCCCCCCCACGTGTTGTCAAACAGAGACAACCCTCTCGCAAAGCTCCCATGGCCCCCCCCCCCCGCCCGCAGGGCTCCCCATCCCCCTCCCCGGGACGCCGGGGGCTCCGGGGGGACAGCGGGGTCAGAGAGGGGGTCCCGGGGGCTGAGGGGGCAGCGGGGTCAGACAGGCTGAGGGGGCTGAGGGGTCAGACAGGCGGTCCCGGGGGCTGAGGGGGCAGCGGGGTCAGACAGGCGGCTCCCCCGGGACGCCCGTCGCCACGGCCCTCTCCCCGGAGGCCGGCCGGCTGTGGTCCCGCCATCTCGGCTGGGAAAGGGCGCTCGGTGGACTGGTTTCCTGATACGAAGGCGCGTCCGAGAAGCCGACACTCGGGAAGCTCACACAGCCGTCAGCTTTTCCCTCACCGGGTCTCTCCAGGCTATTTCCGGCCGGCGCCCCGTTAAAAAAATAAAATAAAAAGTAAAGCCCTGTTACTGCGCCCCGAGGCACAAGCCCCGCAGAACCGCGGCCCTGAGACCCAGGGGTCCGAGCCCCGAGGCCCGGCGTCCGGCCGCGCCGCTGAGGCCCAGGGAGACGCGCACCGGCGGGGACCGCGCCGCCCGCCCGCCCGGGAGACGCCGCCCGGCAGGACCCAGCCGGCCTCCTGCCCTCCAGCCTTTTCCCTCTCCCCGCCCCGCCCCACCCCGCCCCACGCCGAGCGCACAGCCAGAGGCGCCGCAGGAGGCGGTGCGCGTCCGGGCCTCGGGCTCCTGCCCCGAGCGGCACCCGGCGGCGCACACGCCCGGCGCCGGCCGCGGGGTCTGGAGGAGCTGCGAGGCCAGCCCCGCCTCCGCCCCGTGGCCCCGCCCCCGGGACGTCCTGCGTGCGTGCGTGCGTGAGTGCGTGCGCGCGCCCCGCCCTCCTCAGCCGCGCGACGAGAGGGCGGGGGCGCCGCGTGCGTGCGCGCGCGCTCCCGGCCGTTCGTTCGCCTGCTCGCGCTCGGCGGCCGCTCTCGCTGCGGCTGCGGCTGGGCTGGGGGCGGCGGCGGCGCGGGCGGCGGGCGGCGCGGGGCGGTCCGGCGGGTTCAAAGAGGAAAACATGGCGGAAAACAAAGGCGGCGGCGAAGGCGAGAGCGGCGGCGGGGGCGGCGGCAGCGCGCCGGGGACGGCCGGGGCCGGCGGGCCCGCGGCGCAGGAGGCGGAGCCGCCTCTCGCCGCGGTGCTGGTGGAGGAGGAGGAGGAGGAAGGCGGCCGGGCCGGCGCGGAGGGCGGCGCGGCGGGGCCGGACGACGGGGGGGCGGCCGCGGCCTCCGGCCCGACCCCGGCCGCCTCAGCCCCTGCAGCCTCCGCGGGGCCCGGGGCTCCCGGGGGCGCGGCGCCGGCCCCGGCCGCGGCCGCGGCGCCCTCCGCGCCGGGCCCCTCGGCGGGGCCGCCCCCGGGGCCGCCGGCCTCGCTGCTGGACACCTGCGCCGTGTGTCAGCAGAGCCTGCAGAGCCGGCGCGAGGCGGAGCCCAAGCTGCTGCCCTGCCTGCACTCCTTCTGCCGGCGCTGCCTGCCCGAGCCCGAGCGCCAGCTCAGCGTGCCCATCCCGGGCGGCAGCAACGGCGACGTCCAGCAGGGTGAGCGGCTGCGGGCCGGGCTGCGGGGCAGGTCCGGGGGGGGGGACCCCGCTCCTCGGGGCGGGGGGCGGGGTGCGGGGCGCGGGGCGGCCGGGAGGGCAGGTTGGGGGCCGGGACCCGGACGGGAGAGGAGGGCGGGGGCCGGGGAAGCGCTGGTGGGAAGGCCGGGGCCGGGGCCGGGGCCGGGGCCGGGCCCGGGAGGGAGAGGCGTGGAGGGAGCAGGTGAGAGAGGAGGCCGCGGCGGAGCCGTCTCGCCGGGAGCGGGGAAGGACCGGGGCTTGGAGCGGAGAGGAAGGGCACCGGAGAGTTCGGGGCGAAGAGAAGGCGCCCGGCAGGAAGTGATGCTAAGATGACATTGGGAAGGAGAAACTCTGACAGGGAGGAGAGCCCCGAGGGGCCCGGCGGTTAGGGGGGAGCACTGAGGCTTAGGGGCGACGGGGAGAGGAGCTCTGGAGGGAATTGGGAGTTTGGGGGGGAGCTGGGCACGCATTCCAGCTCATTGCACATTAATGAGCCCCCAGTGCTGCAGCCGCCGTCGGGTTGGATAAAATACTCGGTGCGGAGCCCATTCACCGGGAAACAGAAAGCCTGCCGCAGGGGAGGCGCAGTCTAGACGAGGCTGTCAGGGAAACTCACTGAGAGCAGAGCCCTGAGCACCTTCTGGAAAGGTGAGCAGCTCCGGGCGCCGCACACATCCCTCTGCTGCACGGATGTGTAAGGTGATTGGTGGAGATTTGGATTCGTGGACTGACTAGGTGAGGGGGTCTCTAATGCCTTATCAGGGGTGGGGAGCCTTTTTCCGGCTGAGGGCCATTTGGATGTTTATAACATCATTGGAGGGCCATGCAAAATTATTAGCTTGCTACATTTGACCAAACGTTTAATTAACGCACCCCTAATGCCTTGGCAGGCCCAGACCAAGTGATTTCAGGGTGTTCCCCACCCCGTCTTCTGTGAAACACTTGGATTTTAGACTTGAGAATAGTTTAGAAATTTTCTTCTTCCTGGTAAAGTCTTTAATACTCCGGGGGGGGGGGAGTGGGTTAACACATTATCAAACACAATATTGAGGTAATGCCCTGGCTGGTGTGGCTCAGTGGACAGAGCGTCGGCCTGCAGACTGAGGGGACCCGGGTTGGATTCCGGCCAGGGGCACATGCCTGGGTTGCCGGCCTGATCCCCAGGAGGCAGCCAATCAATGGTTCTCATCATTGATGCTTCTCTCTCTCCCACTCTAAAATCAATACAATAAATAGTTATATTTTAAAAATATATTTTATTGATTTTTTTTTTTTTTTTTTTTTTACAGAGAGGAAGAGAGGGACAGAGAGCTAGAAACATCGATGAGAGAGAAACATCGATCAGCTGCCTCCTGCACACCCACCACTGGGGATGTGCCCGCAACCAAGGTACATGCCCTTGACCGGAATTAACCTGGGACCTTTCGGTCCGCAGGCTGATGCTCTGCACAGACCCAAACCGGTTAGGGCGCATATTTATGAAAAATATTAAGAATTTTACAAGTTTTTGAGGTTTGGAACTGCAGGTAAGGGATTGTGGACCTGCTCTGGGCTTGACGTGCATCCTGTAAGGTGTCCCTGAACAGGGTAGACTAAAGGGGGGCCCTGAAGGCCTCTTCAGTCAGGAGGATAGAAGGATCCCACTGTGACCAGAAAGATCATTTGGTACATTGAAGGTAAGGAAGGCAAGGTGGAGGGCGGGCCAGTGAGAATATTGAAGTACTCCAGGTGACAAATTTGGAATGGGTAGTAGAGGACTGATATCAGGTATTAAAGAAATAAATACTTTGCTTTGGGGCAAAGGTATGGACTTTGGGAGATATATTTGAGTTTGGATGTTTACTTTGTCACTTCCTACTTGTGACATGGACAGGTTAATTTTTCTTAGTCTAAGTTTTCTCATTTGTGAAATAAGGACAGAATTACCTATCATATGGCTATTGATAGAATGATGTGTATACAGTAACTAGTACTCGTTGGTAGTTATTAATGAAATGGTAGCTAGTTTATTATTAGTAACTAATTGTGAGTAGCCATGGGAATGGAGATGGGAACAGTGCTGATAGCAAATAAAAGAATTCAGGCCCTGGCCTGTGTTGCTCAGTTGGTTTAGTGTGGTCACATGTACCACGAGGTCGCTGGTTCGATTCCTGGGGGCACATGCCCAGGTTTTGGGTTCAACCTCTGGCAGCCAATGTATGTTTCTCACAGTTTCCTCTCTCAAATCTATCGAAACATATTAAAAAGAAAATAATTCAGGCTCAGAGCAGGGTGTGTTTGTGTGGTGTAGGCAGGATATAATTTTAGTTTTGGATGTTTTGGGTTTGAGGTATTGAGGCATTCAGGTAAGAATGTTAAGAATAAGGTTGGCCCAGGGACCTAAGGATCTGGGCTTGATTCCGGACAAGGGCATCCACCTGGGTTGCAGGCCTGATCCTAGCCCTGGTACAGGCGTGTGCAGGAGGCAACCTATGGATGTGTCTCTTTCACATCAATGCTTCTCCCTCCCTCCCATTTTTTTTTTTAATATTGTCATTGATTTTAGAGGAAGGGAGGGATAAAACCATCAGTGCTGAGAGAATCATTGGGCTGCCTCTGCACGCCCCAGACTGGGAATTGAGCTTGAAACCTGGGCAAATGCCCTGGCAGGAAGCGAAGTGCCCGCAGGGCCCTTTCACTCTTTCCTAAAAATCAGTGGGGGTGGGGGTATTACGGATTAACAAAACAAAAAGAGAAGAGTTTGATTGGTGGAGAAGATATTCAGTGGTAATAGATGCATAGAGGTGGGTAATGGTTGTATAAGCTCAGAGCCTCCTGAGTGAGTAGTAAGAAGTGGGGTTCAGTGTTCTGTGGGAACCTGGATTGTGGGAGATTGAGAAGGAGCACAGGATGAAAACTGTGTGACTGCTGTGGCTAAGGGTCTGAAGTAATGCAGTTAGCTCTAATGTATACGCAGGCAAGAGAATAATAGTCTCCAAATTCTACATGCTTTGTTTTTGAACTGGTAGAAATAAGTAGATGGGACTAAACACTGTTAATCTTAGGGAAATGTTGCTTTCTAACCAGTATCTAAAACGAATGAAGTCTGGAAGCCACCATGTTTTTCGGTATGGAATTGAGAAATAATTTGTTAGTATTAACTCCTGTATCTTTGCTTTTTAAAAAGCCAGCTTGCTGTTCTGGAAGGAACACTGGGTTTGGAGTGGGGCAACGTAGTTCTGCTACTTGTTTTCTGGTTCCCGCAGGTTCATGATGTTTTTGTCCTTCAGTTTATCTACAATGTAGCTAATAGTCCTTCACATACGTCTCACTGAGACAAATAAATGTGAACATGTTTTTATGAACTGTGAAATGCTTTGCAGATGCAAGGTATTGTTGAACAACCTGATTACATCTTTAGCTTGGGAAGCCAGAGCTGGCAGTTTAATTCACCATTTTAAGTGTTTCTGAAGTGATGACAAGTACATTGCCCTCCCTGCTAACTGACCTTTTTCTCTGTTCCTCTATTTAACACAAGGAAGTTATTCACCCTTTAGCCGTTCCCTGAGATCTCTGCCCCTCCTGTAGCTTTTGGACCAGCATCGTCAGCATCACCTGTGAGCTTGTTAGGAATGCCAATTGTGTGCCCACCACAGACCAATCAGCAGTGTTTTAACAGCTCTTCCAGGTGATTCTGATGCACAAGTTTGAGAGCCAGTGTCCTTGAGCGAAGTGCTCCTCACTTCAAATGTTGCTTCCTAAGAAAGGCTTTTTCTGACTCCTTTTCTTTCCCTTAAATTTTTTTATTTTATTGATTGAGAGAGAAGGAGAGAAACATCATTTTGTTGTTCTACTTATTTATACATTCATTGTTTGCTTTTTATATGTGCCCTGACTGGGGATCTGGAAAAGCTGGCACTTTGTGACAATGCTCTAATCAACTGAGCTACCCGGAAAAGGCCTTTTTTTAAATACTTAATTAAGAGGAAGATATAGAGCTTTTAAATAAAAATTAGAATTTTGGGAAACTTAATCTGCTGCCATGAGCTTGACAGATTCTCCATATTTAAAGGGATTTTTGCCCTCGCTGGTGTGGCTCAGTGGGTAGAGGTTAGCCCTGTACTGAAGGGCCCTGGGTTCGATTCCAGTTGAGGGCATTTACCTCGATTGCAGGCTAGATCCCCAGCCCTGGCCAAGATGGGTGCGAGAGACAACCAGTTAATGTGTGTCTCTCACACTGATGTTCCACTCTGTCTTTCTCTCAGTCTCTAAAAATATCAGTGGAAAAATAGCTTCAGGTGAGGATTAACAACAAAAATAATAGAGTGTGAATATTAAAAAGAGGTATTTTTTATGAAATTGATAGTGATATTAGCATTCATTTTTTCTGGGATATTGTGCAATGAAATGTGAACATTTGTAAAATCTACATAGTGAACTAATATTTTCCACAAATGACCAATGCATGATGTTACAAAATCACACATAGAAAAAGATTCAGAGTTTAAAATGACCAGTAGGTTCTAATATAAGAGTATGGTAAAAGTGCATCAGTACGGTTTGAAGTCACCTTGAGGTAGACATTTAAGAAATAAATGTTGTACGCTTTTTATATTTTTTGTATTGTATGAAAGAAGAGTAAGTAGCTACATATTTGAAAAGGCCAGGGTGCTCTTTTTTAAAAATTTATTTCTTTAAAATACATTTATATTGATTTCAGAGCGGGAGAGAGAGGTAGAAACATCAGTGATGAGGGAATCATTGGTGGGCTGCCTCCTGCACAATGCCACTGGGATTGAGCCCGCAGCTGGCCATGTGCCTGAGTGGGAATCAGACTGTGACCTCCTGGTTCATAGGTCGACCCTCTCATCCATGAGCCACAGAGAGCAGGCCTCTCCCTTTTAAAAAATACATAGCTATAAGAGGCCAGGTGTTCTGTATAAAAAAAAAAAAAAAAAGAAAGCCGAAACCGGTGTGGCTCAGTGGTAGAGCGTCGGTCTG